ATTAAATATTAGAAAGTAGTTCTTCATCTGGGACTCTACAGTAGCTACAAGTCAGAATAGCCTTCATAAACAGGCCAAGCCTCTGAATCAGTATAAAACAGTTTCAAGTGTCAGTCGAGGTAGAAAATGGCATACTAATATGAAAAATGTCTTTTGTAACTTATTTTCAGTGTTTACACAGTGCTTACTGTGCTAGAATCTGTATTAGTTCTTTGCTTTATCTTTGCCTAGAATAGAAAGAGCCCCCTTTTCCCACATGCACAAATATAAAATGTGATACTGAAGTCTTGTCATTGCAAATGTATTTTTAAATTAGAACTCCTACTTGTTCTTATAACTTGTTAAAGGAAATATCAGAGGAAATGATCTTCAATAGAAGTGATTAAGAAGTATATATAGGTAGTCTTTGTTTAGAGATAGATTGTTCAGTGACCATTTGCAGTTATGGTAATGTTTTAAAAAATAACTTTATAATCCCTCCTCATATTTACTATCTTTGCAGATCTGTGAAGCAAAAGAAACCTGAAATCATCTTCTATCTATTCTATCTATATAGTATATAAAAGAAGAAACAGATCTCTGGAACTAAAAGATTATATTTATTGTACTTACTAAGCTTTCGTCAGCCTTTGTGGACATCATAAAGAGTATTAAGCTACCATTACAGAGATCTATGCCTTTATATATCATTAATCAGTTTAGCCTTGCTCGTAATAGGCCCTTTCAACCGCCTCCCACCCATAATTAACCCTGTTGTTTTTGCTTCAGTCATGTTAGTCAAAGGAGGGTTATCTCTTGTGGTTTCCTCCCTTACCAGACCCAGCCTGGGGTGCTTATCTGTAAGAAGTGATGTTAACCTGCCAGCTATTGCAATTTGTTGCTTTGGTTGTGACCTTGTGGTCGGCCAGGCTTGTTCTTCATTATTCCTGTCTGTTATAACTTGGGGCAGCTCTGCCAGGTTCTTCTGTATTTGAACAGGGCTGGCTGTGCCTTCATAGGATGAATCCACATGCCCAGGTGTGGGGGGTGCTATCGATCCCTGCTCCCTGATGGAAAGTGGTCTCTGCTCCTCCTGCAGGGTCTTTCTTGGTGCCTCAATGTTTGGTAGGCCGATGGTAGTTTGATATGCCTATTGATAGAATTACTGTTGGAAAACTGCTGGAAAATGTATGATTCTGCTCCTGTATATGT